GCCCCCACGGCTGAAAAGCGAGCATGTTTGGTGGGACGGGGATTCGAGCCCGCGATTCTCAGATTGCAAGTCGAAAGCTCTAACCACCTGGCCATGCCGGGCCCGGTGGGTTTATATTTTCTTATCTACATCCATGTGATGGCAGACATTTTTACGGAAACGAAGAAGGGTCTATTTAAACGCAGAAGAAATGAGAGTTTAACAATTAACGTAACACCTTAAAAGGTGTAAATAGTTAGATAAATATACAATTATAGCAGGACGAATAAATATCAAAGATAAGTAAGCAATACCAGACTTAATTGTTTTCAGACTCTGAACAATTTTAAATAATTGTACTAATAAAAATACGAACACTAGTTTTGTATGCACCTTCCAACCTCATATATTGCGTAGTTGTCGTAAAAAGACAGAGAACCAATCAAGCTACGAAATGGTACGCAACGTCATTTCGTGAGTGAGTCGAATCAGCAAGCTACACTCAACAAGACACGGTGAACTGATTCTCCTGTATTAAACTTCTTCCAGTCCAGCTTCAAGTACAGTCATACAGAACAGATTTGCGATAATCCATCCATATAACTCTGTATATGTATCATAAGAAGGAGCTGAACCCAAAATTTCTAACCAAAGAATCCCTTTCACTGGCTGCTTTGTCTGACAGGAAGGTTAGTAACGACAGATATAAATCATCTCTGTTTACTTTTTCAGTACAAGAAGATAAATTTATTAATAAGATTTCATGTGTCATTGTTGGAACGTTTATGAAGGTGAATGTTATAACAGTCCGTGAATAGTGATAAACATTATCAATCCATACGATGTTGTCTATATTCTAGATTCTATTTATAATTGTATTGTAATTATTAAGGTATTTCGATTTTCCCGAGAATTTATAAAACATTGGAAAGAAGTTTTAAAACTGCATACATATGATTTTTACCATTCAAATGCCTTATTTATTTCTAATATTCGCATTACTATAGTGCACGTTCAGAACAATGTTCACATTTTACATTTCCTTGTTTTATTCTGTGATATACCTTAAAAAGTCAACTATTATATTTAGAAACTCTGAGAACAAACTATAGGTTTAACTATGTGTGAAAAACCACTTACAAACACAGTTGTCTTTTTTTATTCTCTATGCAAGGTTAACGTAGAAATGAAGAAATAAAAAGTTACTTAATTTCCGATATGTATCAGTTTCGCCTCGTGAAACCCATGTGTGCACGACACTGATTTACCTTAGTTAGGTACACGGATTTCTGAAGCTCCGTAATTACTTTGCTTGTTCTGATTGGCAACAACGAATTAAGTGACAAATTAAACGATTTTACATGTACTTAGGAATGAATTTCCTTTGTTTCACTGTACAACGGCTTGAATAAGTAACCTGTTTGAATATTTGGAATTGAACGAAGTTTTATGTTTAAAGTCACCTTCAGTACAGTACACGGTGCTTAAAGTTTTTGAAACAAATAATTTAATATTGAGATACTTTTGTTTGGTATAGATACATAAGCGCGAATCTCTCTCTCTCTCTCTCTGTGGATCTGTTCCTTATGCACGGTCACATCTTTAAAGCCAGAAACTCCAAATTCACGATACAGATACAACTCTATGCGGGAAGTAAAGTAACATGGGCTATGTGGCCGCGGCTTCAGAAGCCATTTTGAGGTTGCAAATTGTGGCCAAAATGACCAATATAGCAATTTTTGGCAAATAGGACGATTAAATGGTCTCAATTCGAAAAGGCCGGATTTTTCTGGTAATGTATGATCAAGAGGACCATTATTTACGTTTCTTCTCTGTGTGAGGACTTCTCGCAATCATTCCATCCATGATCAACTGTGTGTTAAAACCATTTAAAAACCTCGTGCTTCTCTGTTCATTATCTCTTTGTTCTTTCCCTCTCTCTCTCTTTCTTATGCACATTAATGCCTACTCTCTATCTCCCCTTAATTGAAAAATGATGGTTCTTTCTCTGGAATATGTGCATACACTCCTTCAGCTAGATAGGCTTGCTTCAGCCATAACTTTTGCTTTGCTTGCGTGTACTCGCAAGAATTGCCTATACGATGACTTTACAAAAACGTTTGGTATCGGCAAATTTTCATTTACGTTGTGTTGCAACGAGAAGCGAATAAATCAATTCTTCATCAAATGGAAATATAATAAAGTCAGAATACGCTGCAAATACATCTGACCACACAGCAGACACCTGGACATCAAAAGATAGGGAATTTTGCTTTGGAAACTTGAAATGGCATGCAGAGCACATGCAAAAAAAACTGGAGCAATGTGGCCGGTTTTGCTTTGATTAAAATAGTTTTAGCAAATTTTTTTCGCACATTGTTATTTTTATTGATTTCAATCAAAATACTTAGTTAGGTACAGAAACGCTGGGTACTGTGCTAGAAACTTATAAAACAGTGAGGTTTCAACTGATGCTCAAAAATGTATTTAAGCAATGAAGGTACTTGAAGTTCAGGTGGTAAAGGTGTGATAGCATTTTGATTAAAGCACCCCTTTTTATGTAATGAGTATTTAAGTAAATGTCTGTTTTTAACTTTGTGTTGAAAACCACAGAAAGTATTTGAGATTGTTGTTTCTATTTTGTATGTTTAAAAGTATTGGTTTTGTTTTTGGCTACTACTTGGAGTTTTATAGTGTATTACCTCCCTTCTCTAGCTACAAATAAAAAATACTAAATAATAATAATAATATACATACCTAGCGCTTGGAAAAAACCCACAAAATATCGATATATAAATTCGCAATTAACCATTAAGTAAGAACTGTGTTTATTTGGACTTGAAAGCAAAGCATTCGTGTGTCATTAAATTCTACATCAGAGCCCCTATAGTTGCTACAGGCAAGTCCAAAGGACCGAACGGTGTTCTAGCCATTGGGTATCGAATGTAAGTTAAGTATAATTATCGAAAATTTTCTTTAAACAGAAAGTCTGTCATTATCAAGATCAAAATAGATAAGTATGCATAATAAAATATAAAACTCTTAGACAGGTAGTTAAATCGTTATAGCTCATATCATTAACTAACTAAATTTTAAAGTTATTAAAATTTTAATCTAATTGTTTTGATCAGGAATTGCTCTTTGACATATTTTAATATGTTTTCAAGATTATATATTGTAAGCTATGCTACTAAAACGTTAAAAAGATGTTTTAAAACATAACACCATGCGAAAACGAGTGAAGTAATGTAATATCATCGAGTTTCTTATCAAAGCCCAAATATAACATACGTTATCAGTAAAACAATGCTAAATCAGTGTGTTACATTCTTCACCTCTCGCTCAGCATATGAATATTTAAAAGTACATTTATAAAGTAAGAATTATTTTCTGAATATTATTTTTTTTTAGAATTTTGGCAAAATAAATTAATCCAGTATCCAATCAGAATTGACTAGGACAAACTTATTTAAAGAAATAGAAAAAACAAACAATTATATCATTAAAACAAATTAAACCATTCACGACCACTGATGCTTATTATCAAAAACTCCAAAGATTTTCTGTTAAAGAATAATGAAATGTAGTTTAAAACAAATGATTAAATGGATAAAGTTATTTAAAAGTATTGATAATTTACATAGTATTGATATTTTCTGATAGACGATTAAAAACAATTCATCATAGAAAGGAAATTCATTAGTTGTATTTTGCTAGAGTTACTGAACCCAAGATACATGAAACTGTGTTTTTTATGATTTTTGATTAATTTAACTTATGACAAATTTTATCACATTACGTCTTAAACTTCAAGATAGAGATTTTCGCTTAGTTTATAATGTTTTGTGTTGTGTGTGTGTGTGTTTGTGCAACAAGGGTCTCCAGTTTATAATGTTTTGTGTTGTGTGTGTGTGTTTGTGCTACAAGGGTCTCCAATATATGTCGAAGAACCAATTTTGTCCGAGC